TCCCAGCGAAAACCGTGACCGAACTCCTTGGGCCCCATATCCCAACGCCCCTGGGGGTACTGACGCAAAGCTTACCCTAACCCCTCGGGTTCCTCACGAAAAGCATCACCTGAACTCCTTGGGCCACTGACGAAACCCGTATCCGAACCCCTTGGGCTCCAGACAAAAATCTGACCCCGACGCCTTGGGCCACAGACGAAAGCCTTATCCGAACTCCTCGTAAGCTCACATCTGAACTCCTTAATCTCTCAACGAAAAAAATAACCTAACTCCGTGGGTTCCGTGCGACATCCTTACACTAGCGCAGTTGGGAACGAATGGAAACCTCATCCTAAGTTCGTGCATTCCTGGCCACTAGCGCTGTTGGGAACGAAGGGAAACCTCATCCTAAGTTCGTGTGTTCCTGGCGAAAATCCTCATTCTAATGTCGTGCCCCCCCCCCCCCCCCGCGAAAACCTTATCCGAACTACCTGCCCTTACTGCGAAAGCGTTATCCTCACGCCTTGGGCCACTAACGAAAGCCTTCTCCTAACTCCCAGGGTCCTCAAGAGAATCCGCGTTTGAATTCCTTGAACCCCCCGCGCAGACCATCGTCCTAACCCCTTGAGCTCCCAGCAGAAACCTTACCCTGCCGCCAGAGGCTCCCTACGAACGCCATATCCCGACGCCGCGAACCACTAACGAAAACCTTCTCCTGACTCCTCGGGCCTCTCGCGAACACGCTCATCCGAATCCCTTGGGCTCCCAGCGAAAACCTTATCCTAACGCCCGAGGCCCCCGACGAAAACCATATCCCAACGCCGCGCACCGCTAGCGAAAACCTCATCCTGGCTCCTCGGGCCTCTCGCGAACATGCTCATCCGAATTCCTTGGGCCCCAAACGAAAGACTATCCTAGCTCCTCGGGCTCCCTGCGAAAGCCCTATCCTAACAACGTGGGCCGCGAACGAACACCTCATCCTCACTCCTCTGTCTCATCGCGAAGGTCCCCATATGACATATGTGTGGGCCTCCAGCGAAAACACGATCCTAACTCCTTGCGCTCCCTGCAAAAACCTGATCCTAACGCCCTGGGCCGCCAACGGACACCCTGGCCTATCTCCACGGGTTCCTCACGATAAACATCCTCTGAACTCCTTGGACCCCCGTGCGATAACCATATCCTAACGCCCAGGACCGCCAGCGAATATCCCATCCTGACTCCACGAGTTTTATCCTAACTCCGAGGGCCATCAAACCAAGCCTCATCCTGACTCGTCGGGCTCCTCGCCGCAATCATAATCTGACGAACTCCTCGCGAAAACCTGATCCTGACTCCTCGAGCTCTCGGCGAAAACCTTGCCCAATGCCAAGGACCACGAAGAAAAAAAACTCATCCTACCTCCTCCGGCCCCTCGCGAAAATCCCCGCCTGAACTCCATGGACCCCCAATGGAAGTCTCATCTCACCTCGGGCCCCTTGCGACATTCAATCCTAACGCCTTGGGCCGCGAGGGGAAACCTCAATCAAACTCGGGCTCCCGACGAAAGCCCTCATCTGGACTCCTTGACCGCCCCAGCGAAAACCTTATGCTACCGACTTGGGTTCTCCTTGGGGGCCCGGCGGAAATTGGTCCTAACTCTTCGGGCCCCCAGCGGAAACCATACCCTCACGCCTTGGGTCACTAACGAACATCTCATCCTGACTACCCTTGCTCCTCACGAAATCTCCTCGGACCTCCTTGTGCTCTCAGCGAAAACCTCCTAACCTTTCGAGCTCCTTCCAAAAATCCACATCTGTACTCCTTGGGATCCCAGCGAAAAACGCATTCTAACTCCTTGAGCTCCCCGCGAAAACTTTATCCTGTCGCCTTGGGCCACTAACGAGTACCTTCTCCTAAGTCGCTAGGCTCCTCTCGAAAATCCCAATCTGAATCGCTTGGGCGCCCAGCGAAGATCTGATCCTGACTCTTGGGCTCTGTACGAAAACCTCACCCTAACACCTTGGGCCACTGACGAAACCCTTATCCTGGCTCCTCGGGATCCTGCTGGAAATCCCCACATGATTTCCCTGGTCCCCTGGCGAAAACCTTACCCTGCACCCGCGGCTCCCTTCGAAAAACCCTAGCGCTTTGGGCCACTGACGGAAATCTCATCCTAACCCTGCGGGCCCCCCACGATGATAACCATTATCATATCTAGTTGGGCTCTCTACGAAAACCTTATCATAACGGCCTGGGCCACTCGCGATTGCCTCATCCTTACTCCTCGGGCTCCTCGCGAAAAAACTCATCTAAACTCCTTGGGCTCCCAGCGTAAACCTTCTCCTAACACCTTGGTCTCTCTACGGAAGCCTTGCCCGAACGCCTTGGGCATTAACGAACACCTTGTACTGACTTCTCGGTCTCTTCGCGAAAACCCTCACCTGAACTCCTCGGGCCACTCGCGAAAACATCATCCTAACGCCGTGCATTCCCCGCCGCGCGGAAACCAGATCCTAACGCCTTGGGCCACGAGCGAAAACCATATCTCAACTCCTCGGACCCCCCCCTCGAAAATCCTCATCTGAACCCCGTGGGCTTCCAACGAAAACCTTGCCCTGACGCCTGATGCCCCCAGCGAAAACCTTCTCCTAGCTCCCTGGGCTCCCTGCAAAGTCCCTGCCCTGACGCCATGGGCCACCAACGGAAACCTCATCCTAATTCGTCGGGCTCATCGAGGAAATATTCGCCCGAACTCCTTGGGCCCCAAGCGCGAACCTTATCCTAACTCCTTGGGCCCTCTGCGATATCGTTACCCTAGCGCCGTGGGCCACCAGCGAGAACCTCATTTGAACTCCTCGGGTTCCTGGCGAAAATGCTCATCTGAACTCCTTGGACCCCCAGCGGAAACATGTCCACTTCCCGTTGATCCCTTCCCCGCGGGGGGGTGGTCCCTGCTGCTAGTCCCAGGTCAGAATAACACCCTCCTAGGGCCCATGGCCCGCCTTCTCCCTCCCATAGGGGGGGGGTCCGGGGGTCCCGGGGGGGGGTCTCGGCCGGGTCAGAATACCACCCTCCCGGGGCCCATGGCTCGCCCTCTCCCTCTCATTTCCGTCGAGGGCCGAGGCCTCAAGGGTCGGCGGCACCGGCCGTAAGGACTTAGCAATAGTAGGAGGAGTAGACGCACGCGCCAACGGACCAAAACCCCTCATGCACGCTGTCCAACTTTTGGACATGCGCGACGCCTCTGGCGTCACCACCGTCTCACTCCGCGCGACGAGAAAGGCGTGCAGGGGGGAGGGGGAAGGGGGTCCAGAGAGTACCGAGAAATCTGCGCAGACCGCCCAAGAGATCATGCGCCTGCATTTTGCCATGTTCTGCCCCCACACCAGTGCCTCAGCATCGCCTGACCTCATCTCCCTCCCCAGCCAACCCCCTCGAGGTGGGGATGGATGCAGCGAAGCCCAGCGAAGACGGCATCTAGCCCCACCTAGGGGGGGAGGGTCGGACAGGAGGGTCAAAGCTTTCCCAGTTGGGATGGTCGGGAGCGGCCAAGAGGGGGGCGTCCAAGAGGGGGGGGTGCAAAATGGCCGGCGGCATGTGCGCGGCCCATGGGGGGTGGGCGGGGACGTAATAAAATAAGAAGAGGCGCCATAAAATCTGGTGAAATACCATGGCCCCCGCCATGATATCCACCCCCCTAGTCATCACGCCCCTCTTTGCCGCCCCCGAGATGGGGACAGGTGAAACGATACTGAGTGCCGCTCGGAGAGGATCGGACAACGTCAGTTGACCAGGATCGATGTAAATATACACACATATAGAGGCCCTCCTGGCTTGGACCCCGGACATGGGCCCGGTCGGCCCAGCCAGTATCGATGAGGTGGCCAATTGATGCCGCCGAAAAAAGACGGCGAAGAAAAAGAAGATGACGAAGAAGAAGAAAAGACGAAAGAAGAAGAAGAAGAAGAAGAAGGCGAAGAAGAAGAAGACGAAGAAGAAGAAGAAGAAGACGAAGAAGAAGAAGACGACGAAAAAACGGAAAAAGACGAAGGAGAAGAAGAAGGAGCGGTCGCCTGCCGCGTGAGCACCAGCGTGGCGCCCGGCCCGAGGCCCTCGGGCACCCGTGCCTTTGGGGCGGGCGCAGCCCCACCGTGCTCCTGCGAAACAAACGAAAAGAAGACCTCCTCCTCCTCCTCCTCCTCCACCTCCTCCACCTCTTCATTATCCTCCTCCTCATCCTCCTCCTCCTCACCATCATGTTCACCTTCATCATCTTCTTCATCATCATCAGCATTAGCATCAGCATCACCATCAGCATCATCAGCACCATCATCATTGCTACCAGCATCATCATTATAAGCAGCCGCATCAGCAACATCAGTATCATCATCACAAGCATCAACACCATCAAATGCATCAACATCCTCATCGTCACCAGCATCATCATCAGCATCATCGGCATCATCATCAGCATCATTATCATCATCATCATTAGCAGCATCGTCATCATAATCATCAACAGCATCATCAGCAGCAGCAGCAGAAGCAGCGGCGGGGGGCTGCGGCAGAAGTAGCAGCAGCCCCCTCTTCCTCCTGCTCCTCCTCCTCCTCATCATCATCAGCATCATCATCATCCTCATCAACTGTAAATTCAGCATCAGCATCAACATCCTCAAATCATCAGCAGCATCATCATGATGAAAATCATCGTCGTCATCAGCATCACCATCATCACCATCATGATCAACATGTTCAACTTCATACTTACCATCATCCGAATAATCGGCAGAATTACCATAGTGTGAATACAAATTTTCAAAATCAGAAGTACTATCATCAAAGGTATCGTCGTCATCATCATCAGCACCAGCATCAGCATCAGCAGCATCAACAACAGCATCATCGTCGCCATCATCAGACTCATCATCGTCATCGTCATCGTCATGACAAGCATCGTCATCATCATCATCATCAGCATCATCCGCATCATCAGCATCATTATGAGCAGCAACATCAATATCAGCATCCGCATCATCAAC